CTGATCGCTTCAGTTCCACGAGTCACATTCTTTCATTCACATCAGATCAATAATTCAATCTCATCAATTTTATATTTCAGAACCAGGACCTTCAGTGTTTGGATGAAGTGGCTCATGAGCATTGAGGTGAGAACCCAGTGCCATGGGACTCTGATCGGTCTTAGAAGATTCTGATCGGTCTTACAGGACTCTGATTGGTCTTAGAAGATTCTGATCGGTCTTATTGGACTCCGATCGGTCTTACAGGACTCTGATCAGTCTTACAAGATTCTGATCGGTCTTACAGGACTCTGATTGGTCTTGTGAGACTCTGATCAGGATCAGGGCCAAAAAGAAAACACCTCTCTCTACGACCTCTGTGAATATATTACCGTCAGTAATTATCTTTCCTCTAAAAAGTAACTTACAAATCAAAGTGGAAGCATTTAAAATGTAGATTTGTTGCTAAATTCCTGTGAGCTTGAATAAAATCCTCCCTCTCTCTGTGTCTCCTGAGTTTCTGCAGGTTGAGTTTTACACCGTCGTGCAGTTTGACCTGCGAGCAGCGGCTGCCTGGAAGGTAGGAAATCAATTTAACTCCCGCCACGCTTCAGAAACTGCTCCGCACTAATGCAACGTACAGACAATATGTAGCTAATGGGCTAAAAGATGCTAAACTACTGGCTTCAGTCAGTTTTAAACCTGGACTGCAGCTACATAGAAAACGCAGCATTAGCTCCTCATTAAAGAGCACAGTGAAGTGTGTAATCATGTTAATCAGGGGCTCATATTCTGGGGAGCTCTCCTGGAAACGAAAGGTTAAACCCCTCTAAGCCCACCTGTGCTCCGCCGCCGCTGATGCCGCCGCTGGGCCGAGAGCGCTGCTGATTAAAATGGGGTCACCTCCAACTTCCTGCTTGTTTCTGTCTCTGCTGGTTCCTGTCTGCTTTTGTCCTACAACAACCTCTTTTCTCTCTCCTCCACCTGCTGCGTCTCTACAAACTGTCCCTGCCGCCACGAGTTGAGACTCTGCCGACACTCGTTACAATCACATATCCCCCGTAGGTAAAACTGTACGGTCGATTTCACACGGACGTAAATGAATATTAAACTAGAATCACCTCCTCGTGGTCGTATCCCTCCGCCACTCAGACTAGCTTCAGGTTTCACCATGTCATATAAAATATGAACCAGTTGTGAAGTTTTGAGTAATGGCTAAAAATGGCTGCTTCTTTTTTTTTTGTTTTGCTTGTTAATGTCATTACAGCTTTTCATCAGTTTTCAGGTTTGTTGCTGTTGTTCAGCTGCAGGATGAAGCGACTTGTTTTTATTTCTATTGAAATCAACTTTATTGGCATCGAGTTACATTAAATTAAATTAGATTTTGTTGAATATACTCGTTTGTTTGCCAACAGATGAGCTGAAGTCAGGACCGTCTCAAAGGTGCATCCAAAATGGCCGAGGGAGCGTTTCAGATTTCTGTCACAGCTTTCCATTTTTTCTTTTTTCACAAGGAATTAATTTAATTTTCTTTTTACAGTTTGATCCAATAAGCTAAAGATGCCAGTTTTCTGTTAATAGCTTTCTCATTTTTTTTAATTATAGTCACTTCGAACCAACTGAACATCCACACAACTCCAGTGTTTAATGATAAATCATAAAATGTGTCTCGGTGAAATGCTGACTTGTCTTTTCCTACTGCAAACCTCCCGTCCTGTTTCCAAGATTCATCCCCACTTGGACCTTTAACGGCCACAGCAGCTTTTTATTTAGATTCACTTTAGACTTTTTTAATGCGTCGATGAAATACTATTAATTTAGGTAAATGGTTAAAATATGTTTTAATTGTCACAATGTGTTTTGTGAAAGTCACGTTTCAGCCTAACGTTGCTGTTTTCAGTTTGTTTACAGAGCGTCTTTCAGAGTTTGTCAGTGGTAGTAACGTGATCTGTATCCGGACACTTTGTTGTGACATCACAAAGTCACAGGAAGTCCTGACAGCTGACTGGAGGAGCTTTAAAACTCGCTGTACAGTCTGTGAGCAGCTGAACTTGAACATACGAGGAGTTTAAAATGGGTGGAAAAGAATTAATCACAGAAAATGAGGTAGTGCAGACGATATCTAAGAACTTCTGGTGACGGCAGAGACCATCTGAATTTCCATCTACTGTATTTCTGTGATAGAAACTTTCATTTCTTCTGCTGCTTTTCTTTCCTAAACTTCACGTCTCTTCACTTCCTCCCCTCCAGTTCCTCCTCCTGATGCCTACTTGACACAATATTCTCAAAAAGTTTGAAGCCTGAGGATCTAGTTGTATAATTAGGCCAGGGTTATTCAACCATAAGAAACAATCTCCTCCGTCTCTCCCTCGGTTCCATTTTTCTCTCCTCTCACTCACAAGTAATAAGGAAAAAAAAAAGAAGAAGAGAGGACTGGAGGAAGGAAGCTGAGGAGGAAACAGGAGAGGTGATGTGATGAGAGGAGAGAGGCGAATCACAAGACGGATGAGTTTCTGAGAGCAGAGGAGAAGAGAGGAGGATCTATATTTTTTAAATTAAGCAGACATGCACCATTGACATTTTTACAACACAACAATAGCAGTGTGGGTCGATAAAAGAGCTCCATGTCGCTCTCTGGATGCAAACTGCAGTTGTCTTTGCTTCCCAGCTGGAGCTCTTGAATCTCTACTCAGCTGTCAAGCTGTCTTTCCAGCAGATTATCGCTCTCACCCCGAGAAATTAGACCATGCAGTGATCCAGCCTATCTTTATACACAGGCACAATCCGCGCATTAAAAACACACACACACACACACACACGCTAAAACACTAACACATAAACACACAATCACAAACCTGCTCTGTGACATTACATCTCTGCTGGGTGATCTCATTAACCACAGACACCGACGGTGAGATATGAAACCAGTGATGCAGCGGATGATATGGAGAGCGTGTGTCTACAGTAGGTTTATACGTGTGTGTGTGTGTGTGTGTGTGTGTGTGTGTGTGTGTGTGTGTGTGTGTGTGTGTGTGTGTGTTAGAGGCTGCATTTACAGATCGAACATTTGTGCGCGACAGGAGTGACAAGGATTAACGAGGAGACTGAGGCCTGCTGCGAGCCGACTGGTGATGAATGCATGTTAACGTGTGTTTACGTGTCTGATGGGTAAATTAATGAAGCTGAACTCAGCGGGGAAGTCCTCATTAACAGTCATGGGACATTCAGCAGCTCTGTGAGACCAACTGTCACTTCGGAGTTTCTTTTTCTTTGTCTTTTCTTTTCATTGTGGAGAGAAAGTGATGAAATCTGCTGGAACGAGACGTTCAGGAAACAAATTATTCACAAAAAATCATAAAATTATCACGGACATCAAGTTTTTTAACTGATGATAAAAGTAAAAATAATGTCTTTTATATTACAAAGCAGAAATTTGTTGCAAGCAGCGATTATTACCAAGGAGGTTGTTTGTTTGTTTGTTTGTTTGTTTGTCAGCAGACACCTGGCCAGGGAGGAATCCATTAACCCATTAACTTCTGATGCTAAATAAACTATTTAAAAACACCTCATTGATAAAAATGTGACTCTTCAGACAAACACCGATCTCACAGGACGCTGCAAACATGACAGATTAAGAGGAAAAACAAATGATAAACTAGTTTGTGCAGCTATAAACCGATTATATATTGATTGTATCGCGATAATCATCGATTATACTCGATGTATCGCGGCTTGTTCCAGGTGGGACGTAGTAAATCACTGCGAGGTGAGATCGTCTGACGAAAATGAGTAAATGTATCATGAACATGGAGAATAAGAAATTGTCACATAATTAATTTAAGTCGCCGACACGAAATCTTCTCCCGCCATCTCCTGTGGCTTCTCCATGTCTCCTTTATACGTGTTCAGAAACTCGTGGTGAAACTGAACTGGTTCTGAAACCGGCGGCTCTGGGTTAAATGTCTTTCTCTTGATTCCAGTTGATGCGCCTGTTTGTTGCTCTCTGTTCGTTAAAGGTCAGATTTGTTTGTGATTTCCACCCTTTTTTTTTGTTTTTGTTGCAAATTTAAAACTAAAAACACAAATGAATATAAGGACGTTTTGATGCAGACAGATGCTGCAGGGCTGATTTGATGCATCTAAAGGGTTAAACTGCAATTTCCAAAACATCAAGATATACATCGTGCATCGCGATACAGCCTAAAAATATTGTGACGTTATTTATAGCAGTTACAGATTATTTCCATCCTGCTGTTTTATGCACATTTTTCATTTGTGCATTAAACAAAAACACAGAAGGAAAAAAACTGGAAATATCGCAAATATGATCAGGAAGTAAAAGATGAGCTGCCAATGTATTTTGAAAGTAACATTAAGAGATGACACTCTCTCTCTCTCTCTCTCTCTCTCTCTCTCCATCAACATCAACATCCGCAGCCTCTCTCACTCTCCAACTTTGTCCCTCCTCACTCAGTGATGCTCAACCTGGATGGAGGAATCCCCCCACCCTCCTCCTCCCCCTCCTCCCCCCTCCTCCCCCTTCCTCCTGTTAGAAACAGTCTAACTGCAAGAGCTTGTTGTTGACAGGTGATCTCTCTCTCTCTCTCTCTCTTCTCTCTCTCTCTCTCTCTCCTCTCTCTTCTCTCTCTCTCTCTGCATCCTCTGCCCGCCGACCCACGCACACGAGTGGGCTCCGGTCCACACGGGACTCTCTTTTGAAGGGATGCGCGTGCAGCCCGGCAGGAAAAACGGATCGGAGCTGCTGCTTTTACAGTAAAAATAAAATAATAATAATAATAATAATAATAATAATAATAATAATAATAATAATAATGAAATAAAATAAAATAAAAACAGCCTGTAACAGCGTTTGATTCAAGACTGAACAGACTCTGAGAAAAGCCCGGGAGCCCGGAGAGAGCTGGACTCAAGCTGGAGCCGAGACAGAGAACCGGAGGGGGGGTTAGAGTCTACAGGCATGGAGGGGGGGGGGATCAGACTATATAGGAATGAGACTGTACCTCCCGCTGAGACGCTGCTCCACAACAGCCCGATCCACAGCACCGCGGGCAAGGTGTCGCGGAGTCGGTACCCGAGCGAGCCGGCGGCCGGCGGCATGGCGACAGGAGCCGGTCCACTGAGAGGAGAGGATGTGCGGATGAGTGTGAGGTGGAGAAACCGGGGATCCTCCGGGTCCGTGGTCAGTCGGTCAGGTGTGTGTGTGTGTGTGAGTGTGTGTGTGTGTGTGTGTGTGTGTGTGTGTTGGGGGGTGGTGGGGTGGGAAGGTACGTAGGGGGGGGCCCGAGGTGGATCGTCGCGGTCTGGATCAGAGACGGTCCACGGCACGTGAGCGCAGCAGCAGCAGCAGCAGCAGCATCCTCCTGACTGAAGCGCCTCCTGCTTTCTGCCTCCGATCTGTCCTCCTTTCTCCTCCGCGGACTCCTCTGTCCTCTCTCTCTCTCTCTCTCTCTCTCTCTCAGTCACACATAGTCTCTCTCTCTCTCTCTCTCTCACTGCCTGCCTCTCTCTCCCCCTCTCCCTCTCTCTCTCTCTCTGTGTGCCCCCTCACCCGCCCACCCCCTCCACACACAACCTGACCTTAATGATAATGAAACTTTTGCTAGAGAGAGAGAGAGAGAGAGAGAGAGAGTATATATGTGTCAGGGTGACTGTTGTGGGCTGCAGGAAGATCAGGACACACTTACATAAGATGGGGAGAGAGAGAGAGAGAGAGAGAGGCAAAATAACATTGTCCCATGTAGTGCAGATTTACAGGATGGATGATGTGTTGGGGGGGGGGGTTGTGATTTACGAGTCCTCTCATCCTGAGCTGGTAATCTGTCTAAGTAGCTGTATTTCACTCTGTGATCCGCGGGGCTTTACAGTGAACTGCTGGGACTGAACCCCTGCAGGCTGATCAATGCTGATCACCTATGTTCAATATATTGATTATGATTTCAATATCAGCAGTAGTACGGTCGTTTCAGGAAAACACGTTAGCGCGGTTAGCACACAGTTAGCTGCCGGTTCCTCTAATAGAGGTGCTGCTCCACCGTCGACATCTTGGCAGTGCCTGACTCCGCCCCCTAACTCCCAAAATAATCCAAATATGGTCAAAGAGGAGGGGCGTGTGTGGAGCCAAGACTTGATGTGACAAGCATTCGCTCACCCACCTGTCACTCAGAGAGGCCACGCCCTCAATTCTCCATAACTTTAGCTTAACTTAACAGGTGAGTTATATAAACAGGTGAGTTATATTAACAGGTGTCACGAAGGAGGAAATTAGCTCTAGAGACCAAAACAGTTTTTGCACCAGGCTGTAAACACGTTTATTTCTGCTGTAAAGTTGGACATTTTAACATGGGAGTCTGTGGGGACTGACTCACTGTTGGAGCCAGACTCTAGTGGTCGTTAGAGGAACTGCAGCTTCTGGTTCTTCAGTGTTTCGGCCTCGGAGGTCGACGCTTGTTTACGACCAATAACTGTTTTAGTTCAGTCTCGTCAACCTTGTTTCCAGAGACCAAACTCAGAGCTCAAAGGAGAGTTTTCTGTCTGACACATTCACCGTTTTCACTTTTTAAGTTTAAATTAGTTTTGTTGCCAGGAGAAATCTCAAACCGGCTGATGCTTCGGTCGTACACGACATCGTCTTTGTGATCGTGGCCAACTGTTACAAATCACTGATGGCAAATAAATCTGCATGACCATAAATGTTTGGTTCGGTTTAAGAGTAAAAACGTCGTGGTGAAGTTCAGAGAAAGATCGTGGTTCGGGTTAAAATGATTAAAATGACTTCATGAAGGTTAGAGGAAACAGTGGGACGCAGGAAGCTCCTCTGAGTTAAAGTCTGATGTCTTGTGGAGAACAGACGACGCAGCAGCAGCAGTTTTAAAAACATATTTGTGAAATTCTCTTCAAAGCTCTGAACTCTCTCTGTCTCTCCGTCCGTCTGTATTTAATACACGACAAAAGGTTTTCAATGATTCAGTGATATCACTTTAAAAACAAGCTGACAGACAGACAGACAGACCGTCGGTCCGTCTGCAGCTTCAGGGATGGTTTCCAGTAGGAAGGAAGCAGCACACACACACACACACACACACACACACACCTCATTAGACACTGTGCTACAACAGCTGTCTCGCTCCGATCTGCAACATCTTTCACTTGTAACTTTGACACATGCAGACGGAGGGAAAACAGAGCGGAGACTTGAAGGAAAACTCGGAGGAACGGGACGCGACTCTGCGCCACGGAGCGGCTGGAGATGCGAGACTCATGAGTAACTGGATTTAACCAACACTGAACAGACTGAACTGTGTCTGATAAATGTCCTCCGACTCCAGTACAAAAACGACGAATCTGAAAAGTAAAAACATCCGAGGGGGGTGGGGGAGTTAGAGAGAAGTGAGACCTCTGTAGCCCCCTCGCATCTCTGCTACAGGCTACATTAGCTTCTACTAGCATAACATGCTAATCATAGCCTGCCGTTGAAAAGTCAAAAAACACGTGGACGATAAATCGTTTACTGAGCAAAGAAACAAAACAAACACGATGGAAATGTTGAAATAAGAAAACATGAACAAAATATACAAATAGAGAAAGTTCAACCATTAAAACTTATGTGGGAAATCGCTGCAGCAAGGGATTGTGGGACGGCGATTTCTCCTTTCCTTTCCTAAAGGATGGTCCCGAGTTTCCTACGCTAAAGGAGATAAGATAGGAAGCATTAAAGCTCCTTTCCTTATCACTTAGAGAACTGGACCAGCTCTCATCACGGCTGCCGCTTCATTTCACTCAGTTAGGAACCTTCATAAGAAAAGGAATAGACCGTACCGCCAGCACTCAAGTTGCATTGTGGGTAATGTAGGCGCCAAAGGAAGAAGAAGAATGATATATGTACCTTTTAGTTGTGTCATTCTAACTGTTATGACATCATTGTTTATTCGCCTTAACCAAGATCTTTCCCTGCTACCACTGTTGCCGTGCACAGGCATTGATCGATAGATAGATAGATGTTCTTTATTGATCCAAAAGTCTTTTAAAAACTGATCGATCATGTGACTGTTTTCGTGTCTTTCCAGGTCGAACTTTGTTGTATCGTCGCCACGTTTCCAGATCTCAGCCACGACTTTGTTCGGTTCAAAGTTATGACAATTAAGAGAAATGATGTGACAATAAGAGGCGGCGTTAATGAAGCTCCACAGACGGTGTTCAGAGCCTCCTCTCTGTGTTATTCCCCCGCTAACGCGCTGCCGTATTTATTATCCTGAGACTCTGAACAGGATCACTGTCCACATGAATAAACTGCCTGATTTTGGCTTCTCTGTGCCGAGACAGGCAGCGCTGTGTGTTAGCCGAGTGGCTGCCTGCCAACGCGGCAGAGCGCTGTCTCCTCCATCTCTGATAACCAAAGAATAAAATGATTAGACGACGGCCTCTGAAGGAGAATAGATATCATTATTTCTGTGAAAGATCCACCCCCACCCCTCCACCCCCTAGCTCGCTCGCTGTGTCATCCGTCCTCATCTCATCTCATTCTCCACTCTGTCTAATCCCCCCCCCACCCACCCCTCTCTCTTCCATCTTACCCCCAATCTCATCTCTTTTATCTCTCTACTTTCCTGCCATCGCTCCTGGTTCTCACGCTGCTGTTGTGTGTTTTCCTCACAGATACATGTGAAGGCAGATAAGCCTCCGCAGTGAGCCGGGCGCCGCGACAGCCCGCTCCACGTTCCTGCGCCTCACCTTCACACCGAGGCGGAGGTGCAGAGGTCACACTGAACAGATTCACCACCTCCTCCACTCAGACTCGTTCCAGGTCACATCCCTGTTTATCCAGACTCATAAAATATCAACCATCTGTGTGAAGTCTTGAGTAATGACTAGAAAATGTTTTGTGAGGTCACACTGACCTTGACCTTTGACCTTTAGCCACCAGAGTTTAATCAGTTCGTCCTTGAGTCCTGGTGAATGTTCGCGCCAAATTTGAAGAAGTTCCCTCAAGGTGTTAGGGAGATATTGCATTCACAAGGCCATAACCACGATTTGTGGGGTCACTGTGACCTTGACCTTTGACCTTTGACCCCCAAAATCTGATCAGTTCATCCTTGAGTCCTGGTGAATGTTCGTGCCAAAGTTCTGTCATGGCGTTACTGAGACATCGTGTCCACGAGAATGACAACAGGCGGACAACCTGAAAACAAAATGGCGGCTCCGACTGTCGCCGGCGAGGAGGCATAAAAAACAAAAACACAAAAAAACAATGTGCTTTTTAAAGAACTTTTTTTGCTGAACGAAACAAACAAGCAGAAAAACACGAGCAGGACCAGAGTCGTTGCTCCACAAACAGGCTGCGAGCTGAATAAAAAGGCGGCTAAATGAAGATTAGAAGAAACGACGGAGACGGTGTTTACTCGTCTGCAGCAGCACGTCCTCATCCTTGGATCACATCTCCTACCAGCATAATGAGGAAATGCTGTTAATGAACGAATCCGCCTCGTCTCAAAGCGTTGATACGGAGCCGCTAAATGTTCAATTAGCACATATTTATTTTTCTTACGATAATAAACTGCTCACAGCAGCTGAAGCAGGACGCCGAGTCAAAGATAGTTTTACTTCCACCGAGGAGGTTGTGTTTTCACCTGTGACTGTTTGTTTGTTTGTTTGTTTGTTTGTTTGTTTGTCAGCAGGATTACTCAAAAAGTGAATCTGCACCAGACCTGACGGACGGACGAGTCATGACCCAGAGAAAAACCCTTTAAACTTTGGTGCAGATCTGAATCATCATTGAAAATCAAATAACTTTTGAAACGTATTATGTAATGCAGAACTGTATTTATTTTTGCCTTTGTTTTGTTTTTCTTATTTCATTGTAGTTTAGTTTTTCCTTTTCATATTTTATTCAGGCTGTCGAGCCTGATTGCTTTTGTCTGGTTGTGTTTGAGTTGATTATTTGTTTAGTCTGACTTAGTGAAGTTTGATCTGTGTTTAATGTTTTTGTCTTCTGGTTATTTTTGTTCAATTTAAAAAAAGAAAAAGAAAAGTGAACAAATAATAATAACACCCTAAACCTGTGCAATATGATCCCTGCAATTTACCTGTGTGCAATAAAACTGAGCACATGCACTTATTCTGCTTCTATACCTCAGATTTGATATTGATTATTGTTTGTTTTATATTTATTTACATAGACTGTAATGTGTCTGTAGGTGTATTTACTGTTTGTCCCACTGGAGACACTTCATATCATTGCACTGCCCAGTGAATGTTTGTTTGTTTGTTTGTTTGTTTGTTTGTTTGTCAGCAGGATTACCCAAAAAGTACTGAACCTATTTGCACTGCGCCTGATGGAGGGAGGGGGCACGGTCCACAGAAGAGCCCTTTTAATTTGGTGGAGAAGATCCGCTTAAAGAGCCAGATCCATCACTTTCCTAAACATTGTGAATTTGGGCATTTTTCATCAGCGTGTCAGGAAATGATGTTTTGGATCTTGATGTAATAAATCAGACTTCGTACCACACGGTGCAGATCTAGATAATAAACTGGATCGGACAGACGTGTGTAGGAGTGTTTGGCCTTGGCGCTGAGCTTTACACTGAATGGACTGAATTTTCAAAATCAACAATGTAGGTCTCCTGCTAACCAGCAGTGTGTGTGTGTGTGTGTGTGTGTGTGTCTCTCTACAGTCTGATATAACGGACTCCTCTGAGCCACAGAGCTCCATTGTTTCTATTGTACCATTAAAACACATCAGTGAGTCACAGTGTCGCACAAATACTCTGTAGAGCATCAGTTGTGGATTAATCTGCTGCTGAAAATAATTCCCATGAGTAAAAAAGGTAGCACTTCCTTCTCTACAGAAACCATCACCAGGGAACACGGTGCATAAACTGCAGATTAGTGCCACGTGCAGTCTGGGTAATTTCTTGGTGGATGTTTCTGCTGCAGCTCCGAGGACCTGAGGTCAACCGACAGATTTGCTGACGAGCAGGAAAACAGAATAAAAAAGAGAACGGCAGCAATAGACAGAAACAACATCCTGCTCCCACTTCTTCTTCTGTTGTGCACATTTACCACTTAACGCAGACTTCACTTCGGCCCACACACACAATGCCAAGTTCACAAAGGCTTCTGGGAGACATATTTGAGGTCAGTGAGCAGGACAATTTACACACTGAGCGTCCTCCTCCACTCACGACCTGTCTGGGACTTGACCAACAAACCCTCCCATATCAGCTCCAGGACAAAAACACACAATGCATTTATTTCCCTCATATATACAAGGTCCTTCTCACACACACTCACACACTGCCTGGTGCAGTGTGTGTGTGTGTGTCACTGTCAGACGCCCTGAGGCGGTGAAGATTTGTTAAAGTGCGGATCCTCTATAGTTCCTCTATTGTTAAGATTCCCTAACAAGCCACATTTGGCTGCAGCGGCCTGCAGCAGTCAGACAGCGCTCGATAACGCAGCTCCAGCTTCACACAAACAACCGCTCGCTGATCTATGGACTGTATTATCCAGCGAAGGGACGGCGCATCAATTATTAAGTGCTTGGTTTTAATTTTATTTGCCTTCTCTCATCAATTTCATTAACAGGACTCAGGGAGCAGGAACGGGATTTATCCGCAGCCGTTAACGGTGCGTTCAATCGCAGGAGTCAATCTCAGAGTGAGACACCGGCTCTGTGGTGCAGCGCCATTACTGTAAATCAAACGGCAATTACAAGTGAGGACAATCAGGCTCAATATACATCATCTGAGCACGTGCGGCGGCAGAGATGTAATCACAGAGGAAGGTTCTCCTACCTGACGCACAGCTGTTCTCCAGCTGCTGATGAGAACCGGCTGCTTCACTCACTGTTCATATCTACAGAAAGAGACGCACACATGTACAGTCGCCTTTAAAGCTCCATATTTTCCTCTTCTTCTGTGTTTTATTTGAGGTTTTCTGAGTGATCCAATAAAAATACAGCAGACCTACTCATTCTATCAGTTGACCTTCCCAACAGTTTATTACAGTACAACAGCTACAACAACTCCCCTTTTTATTTCATAGATAAAAACACTGGACATTTTAATGATATATTGACTGGAAATGTCCCTGGCTTTCATTTCAGAAATCTGGTCATCTTGACTTAATAATAAATAATAAAGTCCAAACTATAATAGTGATTACTCTGAGATAAAAGGATGTTGAGGGAGAACAGACATCTCAGAGCAGCGTGACCAGCCACACAGTGAGAATGAAATAAAGAATTTTAAAGAGGCGAAAAGAAACTGCAGAGTTTAATTATTTCTTCTGTTTCACCTGAGATGAAAGATTAGAAACTGAGAAACCGGCCAAAAATAAAAAAAAAGTCCCTGCAGGGAAGCTGCACTTCATGTACAGTAAGTGTCTGAGCTTCCCTTTAAAAACTCCTCAAATACACTTTGTAAAATGTGAAGTTGATCGTTAAAGAGACATAAACATCATGTTCACCCACACAGTGACTCTATCTGAGCTTAAATCAGATTCTTACTTTTGCTCTGGATCAGTATAAATGTCTGTGTCTGGGCTCGTCGCCTCGTTAAAGTCAGGAAACATTCAGATGAGATTCTGCAGGAATCTGCAATTCAGAGGAGCCACTTAAGATAATTAGGTCAAGACTGACGCAGAGAGCCAATCAGTGAACACTAATGTATGACAGACTTCATCACACTTACGTGTTGAAGTGGGTCGCAGGTTTGTTACGACCGCTGGAGGAGTTCAGTGCACGAGTTAAAGAGGGGATCATCCAGAATTCCTCCAAGGTATTAGGAGGGAAAACATTTAATATAAGAGCTTTTTGAAGGAGGATTATCTGAGTGTGAGATAAGGTTTCATGAGGGACACTCGGCTCCTCTGTCCGTACAGAGCAAAGAAAAATGTTGTTTTAACAGCTTCACAAAACCCTCATCAGTTTGAATGTAAAGGTAAAAATTTATGCAACATCGTTAACCTCCTTATTTTACAACCTACCCCTAAAAATGAATAAGTAAATAATTAAATAAAACCATCATCAGCTATAACCAGACAGAGCTGTCTGTCTTTGGATTTCTCCAGTATCAATATAAGCTTAAAAATCTTCATCATTATTATTAGTATTTACAAAGTCTTTTATGATAATGTTGTATTAAATCTTAAAAGTCGTCACTTATATGAGCAGCTGTGAACTTTTACCAGAAACAGGAAGTATAATGTTGCCATGGATTCACACTGTGAGCTAACACTTGAGCCCCGTTTTGTAGCCTATATATTTTACATTTTGGCCACTTAAATATGTCAAATTCACTATTAGCACTTCCTGTTTCCGGTATACTCATAAATGTACAGGCAACTATCAGTGTATTACTGTGGTACTGAAGAAAACCTAAAAACATGATGATTCTCAGGTGAGTTCTGCAGCTACAAGCAGGACGTTTACGTGCGATGTACGTCGGAGATAATGACGTCTACGGAAAGTGTAGGTTACACTTAATGTAAAAAATACGTGTATCACACCTGTGCGTTCACATTTAACTGAGTAAAAAGAAAAATATAAATGAACGATTAATCCACCAATAAATACTTCAGATTTAAAAATGGATTTACAAAAACAACATAAAACTCTTTTTTATATACAAAAGGGAGGCTAAATGACTAAGCTAATCGATTACACTGTAAAAAAAAAAAAAATTGTAATTTTACAGAAAATAACTAAGTTTTCTAACAGTAATTTTCTGTTTTTTTTTTTTAAATTGTGCACAAAAGTCTGTAAAATTACAGAAATGATCTGTGAATTAACAACCAAACTTTTATTTTAAGCATTATGCCAATAATAATGAATTACATTTATTTCCCATTTTTGTAAAGAAAAATTACTGTTTTATTTATACAGTATTTTTTCTATTTTCTTAAATTACATACAGATCTATGTAAAATGACAGTAATTATCTGTAATTAAAAATGTATGTATCTATGTTGGACAATGTCTTAACCAACATTAACGTTGCGCATTACACTAACGCAGATCACTTGTACAGCAGGTAGTTAGTCACTGTAATGAAGAAAACAACAACATTAACTGTGTTCAGATGGAGCAGCAATAAACTCTACCGGAAACAGAAACTCCAGAGACTGGCGATGAGACGCTACAGTGACGTCAGCACGTAAACGGTCACTCACTGCTGTTAATGAAAGGTAATGTACTCTAAGTAAACGTGTTACTGCGCTACATTTTTAAAAGGGGAAGAGGAGGGTAAAACATCTTATATGGGAATGATAATAATAATATATGATAAAAGTATTAAACAACATCTTTAGGCTGCCAGGGAGCCAGTATCAGTTCCCAGGTGAAAACAGCACCAAAAGCAATCAATTCATTCCAGTCAGGATTATTGCAGCCTGTGCACACAGCTGATAATTATTAATGTACACTCAGCTGACAATTTATTAGGAACATCTAGCTAAAACTGATAAAGTCTAATACAACAGCCCTGTAATAAAATCGCCCTTCATAAGGATTATACTGTTTATACAGATGTTTCTGTTATTCAGCCTGTCTTTGTTGATATAAATGGGTTGGACAAAATAGAATAAAATAATAGAAACTTGAAAGTCATGGTGAGTGTCTTTATGTAGCAGTAGATTTGTGTTGGCATCAGTTCTGAATATTTCTGTCTCTTTGATTACTAATAATCGGAATCAGCCCTGAAAAATCTGTTGATCCTTATTGCTGTTAGTCAATTTAGGCTGATTCTGTCCCTGATTAATTAATGTGTTATTCAGTTAATACCAAGGAATACACCATGAATGAATGAATCCAAGTTTATGTTAAGTTCTCTGTGCTTCTATACAGTAACATAATATATACAGTTCATCATACTATTTGTTAAATATCTTTGGTTTGATCTGAAGTGAATGTGAACATTGATGTGTGCAGGGTAGATGGCCGTCACTGTACTAGAACCCTCCCTGAGAAGTATGGTGTGCAGTTACTGATCTCAACAGCATGGAAGTTATTAGTAAGAAGCATGTCAAATATTCAAAGGCAACAGCTCTGAGATATAACTGGATATTTTTTGGTGTGTCCAACTGTATTTAACACGGCCAAGGACCCACAGCAGCACATCACCTGTGAGATTATTATAATGCTGAAGAACCAGGAGTGAAAATACATCACCAGGTGGTGGGGAACAGAATGAAGTGCTTCTGGTTTAAAAGCACCGTCCTCCAGCTTTTAAGAAATGGAAGGTCTTTAGTTTGGTTTTAAAAGAACACATTGACGGGGCGAGTCTGAGATCAACAGGTGCACTGAGATTTCCAGCGTGTGATCTGCTGGGATTGTAAACTAACAGCATGTCTGAGATGTTCTGTGAAGCCAGACCAGCAGGTGCTTTGTGACCAAGAGGAGGATTGTTTCAATTGTATTCTGAAAACAACAAGTAGCCAGGGAAAGTTTCAGAGAAGAGAGTTATGTGGTCAGATTTGTGGCTGGACTGCAGCAGCACTGACTGACTGACTGACTGACTGACTGACTGACTGACTGACTGACTGTACTGACTCAGTGTATGAGACTCTTTCACTGGCGTAAAGCGCAACTCAAGTGTCTTTGCTAGTTTCAGACTGATGCAGTTGTTCATTTTTCCATCCAGTGCACACGTTGTTTAAATAGCCAGTTGTTTAAATTGACCAACAGAAACCTGGTCTTCAGTAAATGGCACAATATTTCTGCATTATTTTAAGGGCACATTGTCAGTATGCTCCTACATAGGTGGGTGCACAGCGAGCCTGTTTAACACAAGCAGAGTTTTGAAGATGAGCTTCAGGTGTTTGATGTAAGCAAGATAGACCAATGGAGAAATGCCAGTTTTAGTTCTTCAGATCATCCCGGAGCTCTGAAGAACTATTTGTCAATAATTGTTTGATATTGTAAATTTACATCTGAATATATTAAATAAAAGTGTTATAAAGTCAATAGTGGTGCGTATGTTATTTGTAATTAAGTTTCCAACCCCACTTTAGTTGAAAGACTACATACAGAGACTTAACAGTTTAATTAGCATTTCTTCAGTATATTATATTTTATGAGAAATGTAAGAAAATTGATCTGAATCTGAATCAGTAAATATTGTATTTAGATTGTGCTTCTACAGGTTTTAACATTACTTTACACTTAAAGATTCAATGTTGACACAAATACTGCAAGTTGAAGTTTGAGATGATTTTAATGTTTTACACAGTATTTTTTACTTTGTCTTCCAAAACAAAAGGTTTACTTTACAATATGAAGCTTGTGTTAATATTTCATTGATTTACACTTAATTTTATTATTAGGAAAAAGTTTCTCTGCAGAAACTTTAGTGGCGTCACTTTATTGAAGGAGTTTGATCATAATAATTTAGGAGAATTTAGTTTTTCTCTGTAGAAATATTAATGGACCTTTTCTGTAAGTTTATTGTTTTTACACTTTATTTGAATTAGGATATTTTACTTTAATTTTACGGTTTTTGTTTGGCAGCCGCTGCTGACAGTCATTTGACAATATCTTTTATTATTTTTTTGTTACAGTGTAGCTAACAGGAAAAACAGCTGGAAAAAGAAAATGGAAATTGAAGATGGAATCCAGGAATGTATTCCCATTTTTAAAATACGTTTTCAAATAGTGGCCGTAGGACTGCGTCTCAGTGGTGTTTGTTTTTGGCCGTGACACAGAGGAGAGTTTGTGCTGCAGAACAGGCGGACGTGCATCTGCTGCAGATGGTTTTGACTGGAGTTACTTACAGTAAATGTTACCTCCAGCTGAACTCTGGCTCGGCTCCCGCAGAGCACAGATGTGTGTGTGTGTGTGTGTGTGTGTGTGTGTGTGTGTGGTGTGGTGGGGGGGGGGGGGCAGGAAACATGTCTGACAGTGCAGCTCTAACCTCCAGACACAACCAAAAAACCTCCCTCTTATAACTTCATCAAGAGACTGTAAGTCTGAAATGCCACGTTCAACTGAACTGACCACGGACAGAAGGTCAGAGAGTCAGTTTACGCCTCCAGAGTTTCTCAACATTTCTAGTTGATGCTTTTCACTGGCTGGAAAATGAGTGTGGAGAAGCTGGATGTCTCTCTCTCTCTCTCTCTCTCTCTCTCTGTCCTGGCGTCTGTTCATCAGCTGTGTCCTTGGTCGAGTTACTTTACCCTCAACTCCTGCAGCTGCTGTGAGTCCAGCGTTTCACTGGGCAGCTCCCAGGTGTGAAGAACTGTGCGAACACAAAACACATGTGTCGCCGTTTAGCGACACAGTGTTCAATAGACTCTCTCTGAATTCATAAAAGCATGAAAAAATATATAAATAAAAGCTTTGGCGAAAGTTCACATTGCTCCTCACGTTGTGGCTTCATTCCTCTGTGGGTGAGATTCTTCCATTTCCTCCTGCTCCAATTTTCTCCATCACTTCTGCTTCCCACACTCTCTCAGTCACAATATGAATATCATTTCTCTGCTTTCATTCTTCACGCCAATCAGTCTCTGGATGCTCCATTTTAAATATCATTTTATTTTTATTGCGTTCTGTCCTGTTCCTCCTCCGCATCTCCACCGCCATCGACCTCCAGGACGTCCACGGAGGCTCAAATGAAAAGTTTCAACTTCAGTCGTCAACCATCTGCTGGCTTCACTCTGGGATCCTGTCCTACATCCTGTCTTCACACAGGCCTACGCTTAATGAAGGCGCCTCACAAAGATGGAGTGATCGACAGACTATCTATCTATCTGTTGTTAACCTCAATAAAGTAGTTCTAAGTAGACTCGCTGTTCTCTGCTGCTGCTCCGCAGGGTAACATAAATGCTGGGTTTCAGTTTTCTGGGCTATTTAACTTGCACAGCTGAAACGTGTTATCCAACTTTAATCCTCAAATCCAGCAGGGAAACTGCTCCAGAGGAATGATGCTGATGATACTGACAGTACAAACTGGAAAAGAGTCCACAGAAATACGAGCAGCTCTGTGAAGCTGAACTTAGCAGCTAAGACGCTGTTTGGATCATTCAAGCTCCTCCAGTGTAAAGGTCTCTGTCCATTCAAAATAAAACACAGGGAGAAAAATTCAGTACCAACCAATCTCTTAAAGAAGCTATTAATTTTGCTATTGCTACATAGCTAACGTTAGCATTAACAGCTGTTTACTTACCAGTCTAGAAGAAACTGTGTCCAAAAGTGGTTCAAGCGACACCAATTTGTTAGCATGCTAACCCAGTAGCTCGGGCCCGTCTCGTCACTTTCTGATAGCGACTCACTGTAGCTTCCAGTCTGCCCTGAAGATGTAGCTGCTCAGAGGACGTATTTTAAACTCTTGTCTTATAAATGCAACGATGGTCGAAGCGACGATCACCTCCACCTGCTCCTGTAAAGAAACCACATTCAGCAGCAGAGAAAAACATACAAATAGCTTCTTTAAATGCTGCGATACATCACAGGATAAGTGAAAATTTGACCTGCTGGTGGCGCTAGAGGAAAAGTCAGGGAGTCATCAAAGTCTGTAGGATCCATCATCTCGGTACGATGAGCGTTTCCAATAAATATCACTGCAATGCATCCAACAGCTGTCGAGATAACTGATCATAGATGAAAGAGGTGGGAAAACTAACCTGGCTGGTGGCAGCTTCGCTAACACCACAGAGAATATCAGAATAAGGAAGACAGGTGGAATAAATTCACAAGAACTTCTTTTCATTTTCCATTTTATTCATATACAAACAGTGCTTATCTGAAAATACAGTAGATTTAGTGCTTGTGAGTTGAACAAATGCATTTTCAGGTGGATTAAATATCAATGTGGAGAATCAGAAGAAACATCCCTGATGGCTCCTCAAGTATCGTGTTCAGCCTTGATTGCAGCTCCTGCAGTCGTCAGTGTTTCTGTGAAGCTCACAGCTGGATGAGGACACACAGAGAGGATGGTGGGAAAAAAAAAAGAAACAAAGACGAGATGGTCAGAGTGGAAAAGAGGACGCGAGAAGTGTCGTGTGCATATGCGGCCGCAGATACAGGTCTGGGCCTGTGTTTATCAAACACCTCACAATCACTTCACTGAAAGTTGAACTGGGTCTAAAAATACACGGATATTCAGATATTTATGAATCATGCTACAGCTCCTCTCCGAGCGAGTGACACGCACAACCGCAGGATGAAATGAATGACAGCTTCTTGTAGGTTTTTAGGGTTAAGAGTTCAGTCACATCCATTCCCTGATAATGAACGATCTTTAAAAGCATTTCTGCCAACACACTAAAAATTTTACGTTTCCCAAAGCAGCACTTAGGAGCGAGTGCACACCGAAGTGTTGGACAAATTAAAATGTTGACCTCATAATGGCGCTGAGGGAAAACTCAGAGGATCATCAGTTATTACAATTCATCCTGAGAGGAGCATGACTGTCTGAACCAAACCTCCTGGTGATACATCCAGCAGTCGCTGAGATAATTCAGTCTGGAACAAAGTGATAGAGCCGGGCCACTATCTCCGGTAATAAAATCTATGATCTAGAAACTACGGAAGCCCTGAAGGCAACACAAAAAAAAAATATTTATCAGGATCATTTGTTTTAACAGTTTTTTAATCTGTATAAAAAACCCCAGAGAGGCAAGTAAAAAGATTTCCAACTTTGTCGAATTTGAAAATGTTCCACTTGGCGCCCCCCAGTGGTCGTAAAGCAGACCCCGCGTCTACACACCTGAGACCTCAGTTCATCTGGTTCAGTCAATCTCCTTCTTCAGGTATCTCTTCATGACTGAAGCCACGTCTCCGCCCTCGCTGCCCTCGGCCTCCAGTCTTTCTCCCTGCGGCCTTTCGTGCCTGTGTCTTGGCCCCGCCCCCTGGGAACTTCCTCCTGAGCCGCCTGAGCTGGACGACTCAGAGCTTTTCCTGCTGCGGGTGGAGGGGGGCAGCTCTCCGAAGTGGACGCTCAGCGACCTCCTGCCCCCCCTGACTGAGCTGGCCAGGCTGCTGGTGGACTGAGCTCTCCGGATGGCGGGCAGGATGTCGGACGCTGCGTCATCACACCCGTTATCCTCCGTCAGACGGCGGTTCTGGAAGACCATGGGTTCTGAACCCAGAGAGCCTTCACCCCCGTCTTCTGTGACGAGACTACCCAGCATGCATCGCCTCAGTGGCTGAGGTGAACGCTGGATGGGAGTTGTCACGGAGCGCAGGGGCTCCTCCTCCTCAGGGATGGACAGGGAGGGAGGGTGATGGCGAGTGGCGAGGGAGGAAGCCAACGATGAGAGGCGAGGCAGCGAGGGAACCGAAGTGAGGGAGTCGCTTGAGTTGAAGCGAGAGAGTTTGGCGGCGGCAGACGGCTGAGACTCGGTTATGGAGCGGCTGCTGGCGGCGCGCGGCAGGAGCGGGGACGACGGTTTGAGGATGCTGGGGCCCGGCCGGGGCTCCTGGGGGTCGTCTGGAGCGCCGAGAGAGACGGCTGAAGCTCTTCGCCTCAGAGTTGAGGCTGCGGTCTTTTGATAAACCGGCAGGGAGACGGCGCTGCCCGCTCCATCGCCTGCGTCGCCGCCGGCTCTGCGTTTACGAAGTCCGTCCAGCAGCTCAGAGAGGGCCGAGGAGGACGGGGCCCGACCGAGGCCTCTGGGACCAGCTCCTCCCGCCTCAGAGCCCTCGTCATCAGGATCCACGCAAGAACTTCAGAGGGACAGAAGAGACATTTCAAAATAAAGTCCATTGTGACAAACATCCAGGGATCAAAGGAGTTGCTTATGATCAACTAATCGATCAATCGGCTAATCGTCGTGGCTCTACAAACATGGATACTGGATCTCGGGGCTTACCGGAAGCTGTAGGTGCTCATGGTGTCAGCGACAGACTGGCGCCCCCCGTGGCTGCTGTAGGGAGAGCCCCCGCCGCGGGACCCCCCTCGTGGAACTCCTAACCAGTGACGAATCCCCTCGCCGACATCCTCCGTCCCGATGGAGCCAGCGCTGGACACCGAGTCACTGCAGAGCAAAGTCACAGCTTATCACCACGTCACAGCCTGAATGGAGACTCCTCCTCCTCCATTACATCACCATCAGCTGTTTGATGCGACTCTCCTACCTGCCAGGTGGCCACTGGTTTCCATTCAAGCCAGTTTGATTATCACTTAAAGCTTGCAGAGCATAATCCATCACTGAGCAGCACGTTGTTATTTATAAGAGAGTTGCATCAGAGGTTAAAGCAGCTGTTGGATTCGATGTGTTCAGGTGCTTATGGAAAAGTAGGAAAAGTGCAAATGACGCTACAGTAACATCATACTTTATATCATCTTAGATCTAAAGATGACTTGTAACCTTCAGGCTCTTATGGAGAAATGGCTCATGGACTGTTAGTAGCCATGCAGGCAGCCATGTTCACTCAGCCACAGCCGTTTTCTTAACATTTTAATCACCGAGTTAACGGCTGAGATCTGAGGGTGAGGTGAAGTCAGAGGATCAGACAGGTTGTTAACGAACCTGCAGGTTAATCAAACAAAGGTAAACAGCTGTAAACATCCATCACGGTTTACAGATTAGCTCCTGCTTTAACAGGACTCGTGTGATGGACGCTCACGTATGTCGTTAATTGTGCGACTAACTTGAACAAATGATTTGCTGATGTGTTATTAATTAAACACAGATATGTTGGAACCATCAGAAATATAACAGTTGTACTCATGGTTTGGATGTCGATCATTTACGAGTGAGAAACTACAGATTACAATAACGACACTCACTTTTTCAAAGAAACTAGTTTGAATGAATAAAAACTCACATGAAGTTTGGTTGAATTAATTCAAACACAACCTTCAGTGTGTCAGTTCATCCTAACCTGCCCTGTGGAATCAATGTGGTTCTGTTCACCTGCAGTGACAAGAGAACTTCAGATTATTTTCTATCATCATGTTACGTAAGGAAGCTGCATGTAAAACGGCCTTTTTGTTTTGTCCACAAATTCAAAAATTCTAAATTTCTACCTCTTTTATGTCATAATTAACGTAATTGATTTGTTAATGTGTAGAGTGTAGTTCCCTGAAGGCAACAGGCAGACAGTGAATGTGACCAACATCCCCTGCTGCAGAACATGGGCCTGTTCTGCTTAAACACTGAGAACTTTGAATTCAGATCAAATACCGATCAAATCTTTATTTTTCCCCATGTTGAACTTTGGTACCTTGAATTTTGAATAAAAGGTGAAAACTATAGTTCACACACAGGGAACATTTCAAATGTTCGTTTTCATTGGTTTATAAACCAGGATAAACGGTTGTTCTCAACCTGCCCGATCTTCTGTTTGATCCGTGATGACATCACCGCGTTCCCAGATCTCAGCCGTCACTTTGGTGAGTATAATGTTATTATTAGTGAAAGACACGATGGCCGACACGACAATAATAAAACCTGGATTACATTAAAGCGGAATTCTCCTCTAACAGGCCACGTTCTCTTTCACATTTAATGAATTACAATGAGACGTTTAATGATGACACTTCAAGGTCTGATGCGACGTTCAGGTCACACCCACACACCTGTGCAGCCAGATACTGTAAAGTCAGAAGCACACACACACACTCACGCACGCACTCACACACACACACACACACACACACACACACACACACACACACACACACACACACACACACACACTACCAAGTCACACACACACTCATGAGGTTCTTACAGGTCTTTCTTTCGAGTCAGGGACTCCACAGCAGTTTGAACACTGGAGTGAAGGGCAGAGTGGTGACAGGGTGAGCGTCAGAGGTGGAGGAAGTACTTCAGTAAAAGTACCAATACTACACTGTAAAATACTCCAAGTACTGCATTGACAATGTTGCTTAAGTAAAAGTACCTAAATACAAACAGGAAATGTAGTTAAAAGTAAAACTGCCCTTGTGACTATAGTTTATATACATTATTACTGATGCATTAATGTGTGAGCAGCTGACTTTAACTTCTATTTCTTTCATGGCTGCAACTAATTATTATTTTCATTATGGATTAATCTGCTCATTATTTTCTCAGTTAATTAACTGATTCATTAAAGACCCTCTGATGAAAATAAGGTTTTTAAACTTGTTAACATCCATATGATGTTTTTCTTATATAATACAAGCAACACCATGACTGAGTGTTTCCACCAAGGAACCAATCCTGGCAATTTGTGGGGACAGGGGGGCGGGGCTAAATAAACCTGAAACCTGGTCAGTACAGAGAGAGAGTGTTAGCATTAGCACAACTGCTAACACTGTGTCAAACACTGCCAGTTACAAGCTAACAAACAACATACATAAATAAAAGATGCTAACTACACTAACTTCTGAAAAGATGCTAACTATGCTAACCGTTCTGATCCGTCTGCTAGTCTCTGGTTCTGGTCTCAACAGACTCCTCATCTGAGTCTGGGTCTGACCAAGTCTCTCTGATGTTTCCTCCTCTCACCATCTTGATACTCTCTGCTCTTTCACCTGTCCACCTGGAGCAGGCAGGTGGTGGGCGGGGCACAAGGCCTGATCCAGGAAGTAAGTCTTGATGTGCTTCAGACCCAATTTTCCATTTATTTTTTTCACTTTTTATGTGTGAAAACCACGTTAAACTCAATATTTATCACAGCAGAGGATTTATACAGAGTTTAAAACAGGAACTTAAAGAAAGAAAGAACTGCTCATCACATTGATGCTTGTTTTTGTCCAACCTCATATCCGAAACCTATTAATTAAAACTATTTTTAAAAGTTTTTAAAACCTTAAAGAAGCAAATTCTCAGATATGAAACTGTAAAATGTTGAGGATTTGTACATCAAAAATGACTTTTCACAATCAAAGTAGTTGCTAATTAATTCTTCGTTAATAGAGTAATTGTTTCAGCTCCACTTGTTTGTGCTGTTGTGTGATTTCATCTGTAGCAAAGCTGCATATTTTATAAAGTCTTCATGTGTTTTCTATGTAAAAATCTTAATTTGTGAAGTTAATTAGTAACTAAAGCTGCCAGATAAATGAAGGCGAGTAACATCTAACTCTGTAGAAGCAGCTATAAAGTGGCAGGAAAAGAAATTACTCAGGTAAATGTACTTAGTTTCTTTCCACCACTGTTGAGTTTAAACACACAGACAAAGTCCAATACCTTTCAGTATCGCTCTCATCGCTCGACTCCACCTCCTCCAGGGCGGCCTGCAGGTCCACGATGCGGCGGATGGACGTCTCCAGGTCGGCCTGTAGCGCCTGTCTGACGGCGCTGAGCTCCTCCACTGGCATTTCCTGTCAACAAACAAACAAACAAACAAACATTGTGAGATTGAAGGACGTCTGTTGACACAAGGGCAGAGGACCCGCTCACCTCAGCGTGGGCCAGCTGCCTCTTCTCATTCCCCCGACAACCTGTACAGACCCCGAGGCCCAATCTGCCACAGCAATTACCCGCATCCTCGGCCGTATTACCTCATCAGTCAAACGGTGAATGTCCAATGGCGTGTCCTCTCTCACATACAGTCGTACATCCCTCAGTGCGCCGGGTTATTTAGGAGGAAATTGTTACATACGCGCACTGACACTGGAGGAATAGAGTGATTTATTAATTCATCTAATCTGTTTTTGTTGTTGTTGTTGTTCTGTGTCTCTAGCCTCCTCTCACACATGACTGCACGTGCGCACACACACACACACACACACACACACACACACACACACACACACACACACACACAAGCTTCTAGGCTTTCAAAGTTATTGGCTTTGTTGGCTTTAAGGAGATGGGTGTGGGTGCAGCGGTTGTCATAGTGACACATAAGCATGTATCAATGCGTGTGTATGTGTGTGTGTGCGTGCGTGAGTGTATGTGTGTGTGCGTGCGTGTACGTGTGTGTATGTGTGTGTATGTGTGTGTGTATGTATGTGTGTGCGTGTGTGTATGTGTGTGTGTATGTATGTGTATGTGTGTGTGTATGTATGTGTGTGTGTGCGTGCGTGTATGTGTGTGTGTGTGTGTGTGTGTGTGCGTGTGTGTGTGTGTGTGCGTGTGTGTGTGTGTGTGCGTGTGTGTGTGTGTGTGCGTGTGTGTGTGTGTGTGCGTGTGTGTGTGTGTGTGCGTGTGTGTGTGTGTGTGCGTGTGTGTGTGTGTGTGCGTGTGTGTGTGTGTGTGCGTGTGTGTGTGTGTGTGCGTGTGTGTGTGTGTGTGCGTGTGTGTGTGTGTGTGCGTGTGTGTGTGTGTGTGCGTGCGTGTATGTGTGCCCATAACCTTGAAGAGACAATGAGGATTAATCACAGTCAGAGGGAGAAAGCAGGATGAGGGAGAGATGACGTTAAGAACGTGAAGGGGAGGTGGGTGGAGGAGTGTGTCTGTGTGTGTGTGTGTGTGTGTGTGTGTGTGTATGAATATGTCTATTCATGAGGGCTGTGTGTGTGTGTCTGCATAGTTGCTTGGTAGGTTGTTAAAGGGCATCCTTGTGTGTGTGTGTGTTGCTTTGTGCTAATAACAGAATAATTATTGAAGCTCGTTCTCTCTGCTCGGCTCAGAGGTCACAGAGAAATCTGCTGTGAGCGGGAACAAGAACATGATTGAGTCTGTGACTCTGAGCAGAGCTGACGTCTCCACTGAGCAAAAAATATGTTTATCTAACTGTTTATGTGTCAATCTTACAGATAAATATAATTTCACACTGTACTCCAACAACCCAACCACAGCAGCTCTGCTCATGATGACTGTGTACATTAGTTTAAGACGGAGATTTTCATCAAAGGAAAATTCTGCTTCATTACAGTGGGTTTAAATTTCATGATTTCTATCATTTATAATAACACTGCACAAAGCGAGACGATCAATTCCATCCATAAGTAACACAATGGACGTCATTGAGATTATTTTGGTTTCAAACAAAACAAAAATCTCATCGGACGGGGGTCCCTGGGACGAAACCTTACCAAACGGGGGTCCGTGGTCTAATTTGTGTCAGTTTTGGTCCTTGATGTGAGAAAGCTTGAGAACCTCTGAACTAAACTACTTGGATCTGATGTGAAACTGAGAGTGAGCGAACATGAAATGCAGCAGGAGGCTGGTCTGGAAAATAAGAATATAAAATCACGTAAAATACTTCACTAGTAAAGAAGGATTCGGAATTTTAAATCGGGATATTTTAGATTTTGTGTTTTTATTAAATGTTTTGCTCGTAAACGTGTGTTAGCGAGAATATTGTAGATATATATTAATGTTATGATTGATGTTTTAACCGGAGGATGTTTTATCTTTAGTGTTTGATGCACAGAGGTGCATTTCTTCCCCGTTCATGTTCCTGTTACTTGTCATGTTATTACCCAAAGAAATGAAGCCTAATAGCAGGAAAATGAGGCTCAAGTTGTCATAAAATTATCCTTTTAAAACAAAGAAATACTGAACTTAGTTGGCGGTTTATTGTACAGAAGTGAAGTTAGTTATTTACCAATGTCTTCGCCAAAAACCTGTGTCTGTTTCTGTCTCATCAGAGATAAATCATTTGATTTACAGCTGTGTTTTCTGGCCACTGTGACGAGGTCAGCTGGCAGAGGGACGTTCTTCATGATTATTTTATAACCAGAGATCTCATATTAAACTCAGATGATTAAACTAAATGTTAAGTTTTACAGAAAGTGTGTGTTTCTGTGCTGGAGCTCTGAAAGTGCGCTGAAGCCCTCCCTCCTGCTGTTAGCGCTGCTATGATCAAACTTGTGCAGTAATGAAAGTGATGTTTCCTCATGTTCCAGATAATACACCAGCTGTTGTTTTTGTTAATGAGAACAGAAGAGATGTGACTGTTCTCAAAGTGCCGTGTTCTTTCAATCATAGCCTGGAGGAAGTGGGGTTTTTTTTTTCCAGGGCTTTTTAAGTACCTCTCTAAAACAGTGTCTACCAGCTCGCATATGAGTAACGCCTGTTGGGGTTTATATTTAGCCGGCTCAGTGGTGCCCGGCTGGAGTGGTGGTGATCTGTCTGCAGGTGGCAGGAATGCCAAAGACGTGTAGTGGTGAGGAACTATTCTGTCCCGGCAATTATCTCCAGTTTCTGGGCAACGAGCTGCTGCTATTGTTGTTGTGTTTTTCCACTTGTTTTCACTACATGGCAAAAGGGTGACATTAAAGCTAACACATGAAAGAATATGAAGATAAAGGCCTGAAAGAACAAAAGAAAACAACACAGCAGCGTAAATTAGGGTGTTATTGAGTGGATATCTGAGAGGCGTATGTGCCTGAATGACAACACTAGAATGTTGATGTGTAGCAGTTAAAATGTTTACTATGTTCATTGTCTTAGTTTAGTGTGTTAGCATGCTAATATTTGCTAATTAGCACATAATTAGCAGTGTAAATTAGGGTGTTATTGAGTGGATATCTGAGAGGTGTGTTTGCGTGAATGATAATGCTAGCATGTTGATATTTAACAGATATAATGTTCAGCATGTTTTCAGTCTTAGTGTAGCATATTAGCATGCTAACATTTGCTAATTAGCACATAACTAGCAGCACAAATAAGGGTGTTATTGAGTGCTTGAATGGCAATGTTAGCATGTTGTTATTTAGCAGGTATAATGTTCACCAAGTTTAAAGTCCTAGTTTAGCCTATTAGCATGATAGCATTTGCTAATTAGCACTAAAACCAAAGTCCGTCATTAGTTTTGCAGGTTATTTGATCAGAAATCAAAGTAAAGAAAGTAAGTAATTAAAGTAATTTTGACCTGATGATGGTGCTAGTGGAAAAGTGAGTGGATCAAAATCTTTACAAATCATCATCTGGGGACACTGAATGTCTGAACTAAATTTCATAGCAGTCTTTACGATGGTTGTTGGCTGGGGAACTCGAATGGATCAGATATCGGCCGACACTGCCGTCTCTACAGCCAGGCCACTAGCATGGGACTAATAATTACTATCAGCACTGTCACCACCCTTAACACCATCCTGTGGACACCATATAATAATAATGACACCCTGTGGCAGTGTGAGGAGGGGAGGAGGTGGAGGGATCTCCCAGGAGAGCAACAGTCCAGAGCTCCATTATTTTAATAGTTCAAAGCTTTGGGGAATACGCTGCTTATTCCTGCAGCTGGAAGAGGAGATGAATGCCACTGTCACACCTGTCAGTCAACACGGAGACCACCCCCACTGTGAACCCTTTTGAATTTCTCCTCTTCCTGTTTGAGCAGACGAGCGCTGTCACTTCCAAGCTGCCAGTCTGACGCCACAGAGCCGGCAATGACACTGTGATAATGAAAAGAGGAAACGCCCCGACGGAGACTCGGCCGCCCTGAAAAATAAATAAATAAGCAAACAGCTCTGGCAGCCGGAAATTTTGGAGACAGCATGTCACCGCTGTCTAAAGAAAAACACGTATCTCCAAGTTTGGTGAGTTTGAATTTTGGAGATAAACTGAAGGATTAAACGTTCCTTCGTGGGTGGAGAAAATTCTCCTGCTTCTTGAGATAAACAAACCGCTAAAAAACCCTCCGGATTATCGGAAAAACATATTGCCACAAAGCTTGAAATCAGGCCTGTTCTTGTTACCAACTTTTGTATAGATGCGTGTGTGTGGTAGGACGCCACTGACAAGATTAATGGAGGGCAGATAATAACATTTGGTTGGAGCACGTTACCAGCTCCATGCGTCTGCGGCTGCTGTCCTCCTCCCTCTGGGTCAGATCCTCCATCTCCAGCCTCATGTCCTGCAGCCGTTGCTGGTAGTAGCGGGCGTTCTCTCTCTCCCGAGCCTCGGCCTGGGCGCTCTGCTCCAGCTCCTCCCCCAGACGAACCACGCTGTCCCTCAAACGCAACACCAGCACCTACGGGCACATCGTGAGAATTAAGACGAAGAGAATTAAACATCAGGTTTTTTTTTAATTATGTGTGGAGGTGGGGGAAATGAAAGATCTGGTCTCACCTCAAACCTCTTCACCTGCCCTCTCTGAAACTCCAGTTTATTCTCCAGGTCACATACACGTGCCTCCTGTTTACTGACAATGCTACGCCCCACAGTGGACGACTCCAGGAACTGCACCCTCGACACCGACTGCTGGAGCTGCATCAGAGAGAGAGAGAGAGAGAGAGAGACGGGAGTGGGCCAAGAGGCAAATTATACACCCACAGATCAGTGAGTGTGACATCGCTCCACCTGAAGCTGGTAGTTATATTGAGCTCTGTAACAAGCGGGTTAAATGACCCTGAAATCCATAACAATCTCATATCAGCCAGACTCAATAGCGCACTTGGTTTATAACCCTCTTAGAGCTGCATTTATTTTCTGATTGTGGAACAGAGATTACCTCTTCCTGGAGAGAGTGCCTCTGTTTCTTCACCTCCTCCAGTTCAGCCTGCAGCTCTCTGATCTGAGAGATGTCACTGGAGGACTGAACGAGAGAGAGGGGGGATTTGTTTTCAAGACGAACGACTGATTAATAAAAGGGAGAAAGACAAAACAGTAAACCGGGTAGAAAACTTTACCTGTGCGATGAGCGCTTTGTGCTTCTTCATCAGCTCGTTGAGGTCTTCCTGGTCCTCCTCCAGCCTCTTCAGCAGGTCCGCCTTCTCATGCTGCAGCAGGGCTAACTGCTCGTCCACCTGGACAGAGACAGGTAAAGGTAAGGTGGGGCTTCCACTTCACAATGAGACTACCTTCATGAAGGATTTATAAATGGTTTATAATTAGGTTATTAATTAGTTTATTAACACTTTGTAAATCATAAAAAAACAATTATAAACAAGTTATAACACAGTTTTCATAAAGTGAGGCTCACTATTTGGCAAGATCAAGCTACTACTCATTAATCTTATTAATGAGTTACTACCTTTTACAACTGGTAAAAAGAGTCTTGTTGTAACTCATTAATAAATATTGATTGGGTTTTACACTTTACAATAAGACGTCAAGGTAAACAACACTGCCAAGGGCTTAGAGGATGAATCTGGTCATGTGATATGATCATGTGATCTGCCAAATTAAACTTTTTAGATAGATAGATAGATAGATAGATAGACGGATAGATAGATACTTTATTTATCCCCAAGGAGAAATTCATCTGTCCATTACCTCATTGTTGATAATAATAATAATAATAATAAAGGCTGAATGATGGAAATAAACTCTCACCACACTCTTCTGTTTGCAGATATTTTCCAATTCGATCTGAGTGTTCTCCAGCTCCTGGGAGAGAGTCGTCTGGACGCCCTCGGCCTCCAGGCGCCTCGCTTCGCTCTCCTCCAGCTAATTGGAGACGGAGAGAGAAAGAGCGAGTGAGTGTTTATCAACCGGCGCAGAGGGTGACACCGCAGAGTCAGTCTGAGCTGGGCGCACCTGATAGTGCAGGCGCTCTATCTGGTCTTTGCTGCCGTTGGGCACGTTCGGTCCCGAGCTGTCGACGGTGGCGAGGAGCAGCTGGGCGTCGGCCAGCAGGGCGTGAGTCCTCTTCAGGTCTCTCCTCAGCTTCTTCTCCACGTCGAAGTCCCTGTGTCCCACCTGCAAGACGAGAGAGCTGAGACCAATCCTTCTAGAAATGAGATCTGGAGAAACTAGAATTCAATTTACATAGCACTTCTCTTTTCCTAAAACTCCCATATTTTCTTCTTCTTCTGTGTTTTATTTGAAGTGTTGATCCATCAGAAGATATAAAAACCATCTCAGTGTAGTTTTACATCTCCTCTCTCAGGCTTCTCTCTGGAGCTCTAGTAACAACAGGTCGGTGAGCCAATCAGAAGAGAGGAGGCTCTGAGCCTCTCTTCTGATTGGCTGACTGTTTTCTGAGTGATCCAATAAAAATACAGCAGATTTCAGGTAAAAACACTCAGAGAAACCAAATCCTGCAAGGTTTGGATGGTGGGTCCAGGTGGGCGGGGCTTGGTGACTGCTTTGTTGTGACATCACAAAGTTCCAGAAGTCCTGACGGCTGGTTTTAAGGCTCAGTTTCTGAATACAGGCTGTGTGCATTTCTCTGTGGACTGAGGCTTTGATACTTTCACAGTATTAATATAGAAGCTAGAGCTGATCTATAATCACACTACACATGGACACAGACCTTTACACTGGAGGAGCTTTAATGACCAGAAGTGTTCTTGCAGAACGCTGTGATGTCACGGTGAAGTTGACCTTTGACAGTTTGGATATATCATCATTTTACCCTAATAGACATTGGTGTTAAATCGTGTCCTGATCAGTGAGTGAATTCTGTTTGGTCACAGTAAAAAAAAAAAACAAATCACCCTTTTCACTCTAAACGCTTTAAAGGACTTGAACCGGCGCTATTTGCCAGCTTGGCCACGGACCAGCTCAACTTATCAGCAGCGAAATTACATCCTCATAAGGACACAGAGAGAGAGAGAGAGAACGCTAAATTAGCCGCCGCCTCTTTGCAGCATATGCTTGTTTTGTGGCGCCTGTAATGTAGGAGTGACACATTCATCAGCTCGAGAACATTAACCCACAATAACAATGATGTACGACGCGCTAAAGTCGCCTGGACACTTCACACACACTATAAACATAAAGATGTGCAGTATATGTGATACAGTTGTGTGTGTACTACACGTGTGTATGTGTGTGTGTGTGTGTGTGTGTGTGTGTGTGTGTTCTGTACCTGGTCACACAGAGTTGCGATGAGTCCTTCCAAGTCGTGTTTCTCATGAATCACCATCTGTTTCTCCTCATACTCCTGCTCCAACTGCATCTCCAACTGCCTCAGCTACACACACACACACACACACACACACACACACACACACACCACAAAAAAAGAGAAGAAGAAGAAGATGAACGAGCAGTTTCAATGTGTTTTTATTGTCCCTGACAGGAGACTTTCCCCTGCAGCAGGAAGCGTAATGACAGACATAAAAACACCATCATCTGCTGGAGAGTATAAACATAAACAGCACACAATAACAACCATCCTCTGCTGCATGAATCAGCCGGAGTTCGGTGATTCAAAGCCTCAGCCGGAGGGACGAATCTCAACTTCTCCATCGAGGAGATGAAGAGGAGACTCCGGCGTGACTCTGGGCTTCTTTACAACCTGCAGGTCAGACACTGTCGCCCGTCTAGCTGCAGCTTCAGGTTGTTTGCCACAACAGGAGACTCAGGTTCAGGCTCCAAGTTGTACTGTCACAGTAATGATATAGAACCTAGACCTGCTTTATAATCAAACTACACGTGGACATCTCTTTAAGTACCTTTAACAGATTCTGTAGGTATTAACAGAAAAATCGCCTTCAAGTACCAAAAGTAAAAGTTCTCATTATGCAGCAGAACAATCTCTGTCACTGTTATTATTAGTGATTGATGATTATCCAAGCATCATTTTAATGCTTCAGCTGGTGTGTGAACTGCTTTATATTCTGCTGGGTGTTTTAATCCATAATAGAGCATCATATTTTATTTAACTTCAGCTATTAAATAAATGTGGAGCGGTAAAATATGCAGTGGAACGAGAAGAACAAAGTGGCATAATATTGAAAATATTATATAATGATGAACTACAAGCACCTCTAAATTGTTCTATAGTACAATACAGTGTAGTTTCCCTCATGTTGACGTGGGTCAGCTCTAAAAGAATCATCGATGAACCAAGAACACCTGGTTTTACAGACTTTACCTTGGGACAGTAGAAGTGACTGTGTTTGGTTGGTTATGAGTGATTACTTGGGGTCTTGAATTAATTGTATTATGTGAAACCCACCCGTCTCTGAGACGACTTGTGCACATCCTCCAACTCCTCCTCTTTATCCTCCAGCTCTTTCTGATGGATCTGCTTCATCCGCTCCATCTCCATCTCAAACCTCATGTGGATCTGAGAGACGGGAGGAGAGAGACGAGGTGAGACAGGCGGCAAGCGAGTAAATCTATCTGAAGGCGTCTGTGTGAGCTGCGAGCACCTGTTGCTGCTGCTGTATTTTGGCAGTGAGCTTGGTGATTTCCTCCGCCCTCTCGCTGGCCTGGCTCTCCAGCAGACGAAGCTGTTTCTTGAGGTCGGGCAGCGAATCCGAGGCGAGGTCGACGGGCAGGCTGAGGTCGCGGATCTGAGCGCACAACTCCTCCTTCTGCTTCTGCAGACGACCCACCTCTGACTGGCTCTCCTGCAACACACACACCCACACACACAAACATACAGCATGTGTCAGTGCAAACAAAACATTTTGTTCATCCTCCAGCTCAGATCTTCTCTTCCCGTCCTGTGGCGGCTGCAGCGTCTCCGGAGCCGCCGCAGGTTAAACGGTGTGATCCCGCTCTGAGATACTTTGGTGCGTTTGACCACGGGGGAGCTGAAGAAGAAGCAACACAGACGCAGAAACAAAGACGAGAAACAGCAGAGTTTCTGGTGGGAAAAGGAGGAAACAGTCCTGAACTGGCTGACAGACACTCTCATAATGTAATAGAGGAAATTAGGTCTGGTATTTACTTCTTAGTTTGACTTCTTTTAAACTTTTCTCTAAGCTGTGCACAGGAGAGATTTGGGAGTGACGGTAATAACTCTGCCCGAGGCAACACAGACTCAGAGCCAGGTGGATGCAGCGTGGAGGTGGCTCATGCAATAATATATGAAGTGGTTCGCGGCAGAAGAAGCAATCGCACTATTTTCATTATGAGAATCAGAATCAGAATACTTTGTTGATCCTCAGGGCGAAATTAGGTTGAGTTACAATTCCTCCCTCAGCGAAGAGCAGAGAATATGAAGTAGATCATAAAGATCCTGGAGCACGTCACATTAACCTTTAGTAAAGACACGAGCGTCAACGCTGTGGGTCAGTCATATGTCAGACACGCCGCCTAACATGTCCGTCTCTGACTCATTTAACTGCCGTGACGCCGGCTCATGAATCAGATGTGACAACTTTCACTTCCACAACAGATCATTTGCTCTTTTTCAGGGTCACATGGTCCAAGCTGTTTCCAAGTAACACGTCCTGTGCGGTTTTGCATAAAAGGAGCTTATAGAGCATAAAGATAAACACAAACACACCTGGAGGTCGCGGCGCAGCGTGTATATCTCAGTCCCCAGAGCTGCGATTTCCTGAAAGGCTTTGTCCTTTTGCTCTCTCTCGTTGTCGGCTTCCTCCAGAGCTTGAGTCAACTCATTGTCAAACCTGCATAAACACAAGAAAACACACAAACAGAAGGAGCAGGCAGATGCTTTAGGTGAAATACTGCATGTAAAATAGGACAAACACTGCAGAACTTATTCTTATTGAACCGGCCGAGAGTAAACACGGAGCCTCTGAGATAAAATACATTATTATTAATCCCCAGGGGGAAAACTCGTTTTTTCATCCATGTACAGTTTCAAATAACAAAAGAAACAACAAACAAACAATTCAACACAGAAACAACACCGTCACACTGCAGCGCTGGAAGAAATACTCAGGTCATTTACTTTAGTAGAAGTAGCAGGAATAAAAGTAAAAGTTCTGCATCTGAAATTTTACTTAAAAAAAGTTCTAATCATATATCATATATTATTTCATCATTATTATTGTTCCTGATGCATTAACTTGTAAACAGCATATTAATGTTGTTGCTGGTCGAGGTGGAACCATCTTTATATTTTGAATTTTATCTATAACAACGCATCATAATTTAGTTTTTTTTACAATTATCAGACAACAATCAATTAACAAATAAAAACCTGACTATAAATGATGCACCTGAATATGGGAACAAGCAATAAACATTAAATAAAAATTAAAAAATATCTTGTAAATAGATCCTGTATCTCAAAACAAAGAAAGAAAGAAGCTAGTGTCACATTTTTCAATGACTGAGTGAGAGAGAGACAGAGAGAGAGAGAGAGAGAGAGAGAGAGAGAGAGAGAGAGAGAGAGAGAGAGAGAGAGAGAGAGAGAGAGAGAGAGAGAGAGAGAGAGAGAGAGAGAGAGAGAGAGAGAGAGAGAGAGAGAGAGAGAGAGAGAGAGAGAGAGAGAGAGAGAGAGAGAGAGAGAGAGAGAGAGAGAGAGAGAGAGAGAGAGAGAGAGAGAGAGAGAGAGAGAGAGAGAGAGAGAGAGAGAGAGAGAGAGAGAGAGAGAGAGAGAGAGAGAGAGAGAGAGAGAGAGAGAGAGAGAGAGAGAGAGAGAGAGAGAGAGAGAGAGAGAGAGAGAGAGAGAGAGAGAGAGAGAGAGAGAGAGAGAGAGAGAGAGAGAGAGAGAGAGAGAGAGAGAGAGAGAGAGAGAGAGAGAGAGAGAGAGAGAGAGAGAGAGAGAGAGAGAGAGAGAGACGGGCTGATGTAACGAGGTGATGTCACACTTTCGGAGAGGACCAGGTGGACACAGACCTTCTCTGTTTGCGGTCCAGCTCGTGCATGCGGCTCTGCAGGCTGTCAGTGAGGACTCGGGCGTCCTGGAGGTCAGAGGTCACGCGGCGACAGTGACGTTTCAGTTCTGTCACACTCCTCCTGGACTGCTCCAGCTGGGCCTGCAGCGTCGCCACCTACACACACACACACACACACACACACACACACAGTATTATTATCTTCAGACATTTAATCTCCCGTCCGCTCTGCCCTGCACGTCAGCGTGTCCTGTCTCACCTTGGTATCGAGCTGTTGTCGCGTCTGTCTCTCCGTCTCCAGTTTTTCCTCCGTCTGCTTCAGACGTCTGCGGACGAACTCAACCTCTGTCTGGCAGCACTCCAGCTGCATGGCCAGCTCGCTTTCTGCGTGGGGAGGGAAGGACGTGACTTTGTCATGGGGGGTGATGGTCGGGGTCACTTGACCGTCTGCTGACAGTTTTCTGTGTCGATTTTGTTTTTGTTGTTTTTAGCTTGAAACCAGTTGTCTCTGATTATGTGCCACAGGAGATTGATTCTTTTTCTTTCACTGAAACTAAACTAAACTACTGTTCCTCCTGAAGATGCAGCTGTACCTTTATCGTCCTTATCTATATTGAAGTATATTGTATTTCTTTCCTCTTAACTTTATCTTATTTCTTTCTTTTCTTCTTATTTTGAGCCTCTTGCCTCTTTTGCTTCAACTGTTTTTAAAAGGTGCTTCATAAATATAGTTATTATCATTATTATTATTATTATTAATCATCCAACAGTTTGTGACTTTTGTTTTTGTTTGTCTTTGTGACCTTTGATGAAACAGAGGAATCCCAGAAGCAAAAAAGGCCCAGCACCACATCAGCTTTGTCTTTGTCCAAACTTTTAGAGCGGACATTGAAATGTACATGAACGTGTGTGCAGCCATAAAAACACTGAAGTGCAAATAAATATTCAAGTCATGAATTTTCACCTCAAACTTCCAGTTATCTACGGCCGTTAGAAAAGTCTGTACGAGCACAACTCATGAAACGTACAGACTGATGTTTTTGGGAATGAGAGTGAAAAATGTTCTTGCATGAGGAAGATTGTTGATCATGTTTTTGTTACCAAATTTTTTCCAACCACTCACAGCCTCCACGTAACCCATGGCAACAGCAGAAGCACAATGGACCAGAGTGAAACGACAGTGGACACGTTTCGTTTCGTTTACCTGTCCCCGCTCCTCTCTGACTCTGAGCCATCTGAGCTTTCTGCTTCTCCTCCTCCAGCTGCTTCTCCAGCGTTTCCATGGCGACTTTACACTGGTCCAGACGAGCCTGATGTTTGGAGGAGGAGAGATATTTGCAATAGCTTCAGGTTTGCAGTTTGCAGCTGGCAGGTTATGTGAACTGAGACGTGTCGTCACTTTAGAGGAAGTAATAGATTACTTTTCTTTCTTGTCTGTCTACCTGCAGGTCTTTGTTGTCCCTGCTGAGTCGAAGCCTCTCTGCCCTCTCCACATCCAGAGCCTGTCCCACCGCATCGCCGCGGAAACGCTCGTCACTTAGCTCAGATGTCACAGCTGTAACCTGCACACAGGGATCACGGCATGAACAGTGTGTGTGTGTGTGTGTGTGTGTGTGTGTGTGTGTGTGTGTGTGTGCGTGTGTGTGTGTGTGTGTGTGTGTGTGTGTTGCAGCACAAACCTTGGTCTCCAGGCTGTCAGCGGTCTGCCTCAGCTCGTTCCTCTCCTTCTCTGATTTCTCCAGACGTCGCCTCAGAGCTGAAACCTCGTCCTGCCGGAACAGAGACTCGCGTCTTTGAAATCACGTCTCACAACATTTGATTCATGAGCCGTTTGCCTCCATCGTTTCCACCATCTCATCTTTTACTGTGATGGGTGAGTCCACCTGTTGCTGGCAGACCTGGCAGCGGACGCAGGCGCTGCACAGCTGACTGAGCTCCCATCGCTCTCACTGATCAGTCGTCTGTTTGCCTCCTCGTGTTATTTTATCTTCAGTATTTATCACCTGCAGCTCACTCAGCCCGTGTCTAACACACTTTTCAGTCTTTAAAAAGGCTGTCAGAAACAATATCACACAATGTTCAGGCTGCGTTATGCATGAGGATAGCTGGCACTGTACAATTTAAGATCTTGGACTACATTACAGAGAGGTGGAGTGTGGAGGCCAGCAGCAGAGTGAAGGGAACACTTTCTCTTTTAATCAGTTAGCATGAGTTAATTGAATGAATGTGAGGTTACTGAAGCAGCAGAACCAGAGGTCAGAGGTCATTTGCATCGACCAATTGGAGAGGCAGGGAACCGACAGAGACTCAATCCGGCACAAAACCGTCTCGTAAAAACCACGACGTTGTCACACTGGGTTTCACACGGAGTCAGCAAAGAAGATAAAGAGAATAAATGTGTTTCCCAAAATGTCAAACTAATTAAAACTAATGTGTGTGTGTGTGTGTGTGTGTGTGTGTGTGTGTGTGTACCTCTTTGGCCCGGAGCCTCTGGTTGTCCATGTTGACGTCAAGCAGAGGACGAACTCGGCAGAAAAGTTTCCACCAGCTCCAGTTGGACACGACCCTCAGAGCGCGAAGGTTCCTCTGCAGACAGCTGACCGCCATCTGCTGCACCTACACACACACACACACACACACACACACGCACACACACACACGCGCACACACACACGCGCACACGCGCACACGCGCACACACACACACACACACACACACACACACACACACACACAGAGCTGTTTCAGTAAAGTGTCTGAGTTGAAACTACAGTTGAACTCCTCACAGTGGTAATTTTATATTCATTGCTTTAAAAAGAAATAAAGAAATTCAAATAACATTTTTAATTATCATACATTTTTCAAACCAAAAACATTTATTTATAAAACATTTAACAACATATTTTTAAAACCAGGTTGATTAATTTGTAAATATAAATTTAACTTTTTAAAGTTTAGTCGTTAAATTGTTTAGTCGACTCACAGAAAATCAAAATGCAACTATTTTGGTAATTAATTAATAATTTCAGTCATTTTTAATACAAAAATGTTAAATATTCTCAGGTTGCAGCTTCTCATATGTGAGTATCTGCTGCGTTTCTCTCATATATGAGAATAAACTGAATGTTTTCAGGGTATTCGACTGTTAGTCGGAGAAAACGAGTAGTTTGAAGACGTCACTTTCAGCTCTGAGAATTGATTCTTGACAATAACCACTTCAAACTATAAGCTTAATTCATTATTCAAAGTTATGTTTATCAAGTTTTATTTCTAACTTTACCCAGACTGTTGTGTTATTTGAGGTGGATGACTGAATGAATGTTTGAATGTTCTGTTTACTCTGTAAATTTAAAATGAACAAAAGCCAATAAACAAAAAAAAAGATCAATCAATAATCAGTATAACTGTCATTAGCAGCCGTGCTCATGTTAAAGTGCCGCAGAGGGACGCTGACCTTCAGCTTGCGGTACTTCTGACGGGCCACGTGTCCCATGCAGGAGGCCTGCAGATAGACCAACCAGCCGGTGACCTGCTGGTCCCGCTGCTGCTCCAGGTAGCGCAGCACACCTCGCTTCATAAACACCTGAGACACAGGGGGAAGAAGATCCCTGAGTCACATCAGCTGGATCCGCGTGGTGCCGTTTGATTAGAGCGGTTCTAACATGCCCTCACCCTGCTGGCGCCCACGACGATGCTCTTTTTATCCAGATCCAGCTCAGCCAGCAGCTCCTCCACCGCCTGAGACACAGAGAGGGAAAACAGCGTATTGATTCCTGAGCTGAGGATCACAGACCGGTGTGTTTTGTGCGGGATCTGACCTTTCTCTCGTCGTGGCTGACGAACATCGAGGCGTAACGTTTCATAATCGGGGGAGACAACGCCTGGAAGTGACACCTGAAGTCGCTGAGAGTCATGTGCTCTGGATAACCTGAGGCAGAGAAGCAGATCCAGAGGTTACACCCAGACCTGTGAGTCTACATCTGGAAAATTTAATTAAAACATTTACAGGTAAAATTATGAAAACACAACCTCCACACATAAACATAACAAACATTATTTATTTATTTCCAAATGTTTGGCTCTAATAATGAGCAGTTCCTCGTCGAGCTAAATCCAGACCTGGTCCCGGATCAGCTCCACCGCTCTAACTTTGATCCTGTAATCTATTAAATTCAGGCTGCGGCTCATTGGAAACGACTTGTGCTGAGGCTCCTGCTCACTCCGCGTCACTGTGCCAGTCCAGATAAAAATAGGGCAGAATTTAGACAGAAAAGTGGAGCGTGGACGTAAAACGGCTAAATCTGCTCCACTGGAGGGAAATCTCACCCAGAGGTGGAGAGTGGGCGGCCGGAGCTTTACTCAGGTGAGTGACTTTCATTTTAATTTTGGTTTCCACATGTAAACACCTTATGAATGTTTAAAGGACAAATTACCAGAAGTCTGAGGTTTGTCTTTTCCTGTAACAAACTTTTCATTGATTCCATCCATATTCAGCATTTTTAAGCAATATTAATGAATTAATTATCAGACTCTATAATGCAGTGGTAAGTAGATATTTGGGCATTTTAAGTGTTTGTCAATGTATTTGTCAACAACTGTAGCAATCACATGAAAAATATATACTATATACAGTATATGAATATAATGAATGAATATAACATCTTTATTTACATTCATTAATTTAATTTACACCACATAATCTATTATTTACATTCATAAAGATGTATTATTATATAACTGAGATTTAATTTAAAGAAATTTATCAACAGTTTTAAATTCACCACTTTGAATAACTTGTAGGAACATACGTAAGAATTAGTTTGTGTTAAATGATATATCATTATACGTGATAACAGGGGTGTTACACTGTCTAATCAATCATTCATTAACAGTTTATGCACCAGTTACAGATGGATCTGAGTGGTTATAATCCCTGATAAATACATTAATAAAGACTTACATATGTCTTCAGGAGATGTCATGGAGGAAACTTGCATATAATTTTCTGTATTAATTACATTTTTCAGCAAATAATTCTCCTGTAGTAACATCTGCAGGATGGTCACAGTTTGTTTGATTGATTTGAAATGTAACACAACATTGTGTTTAACAGCCTAAAGTGTGTCCACACGTCTCTGTCCAACATGAAAAATGAACCTGTATTAAATCCTCAGAGAGAGTGCGAGGGCTGCACGACGGACAAGACTGATGCCACTGAGGTGATCATTTAAAATAAATCAAGAGCGTGAATTATTAAATGAAGCACAAAGTGTTTTTTCTCTGACACCTCCGGGGACTCCGTACGTTGAAGTGTGTTGTAAACCTCGTATTGATTCGTCTGCGCACTGCAGAGAAACGATGCCGGCGTGAATGTGCTGACCTGTGCGGTAGAGCTGCAGCGCCGACAGGATCTGTGTGGAGTGCAGCTGGACTCTCAGCGCCGGGACGTCGAGACTTCCACCGTCGCTCTTGGCGCTCACACACTGCAGGAACACGGGCCGGGCTCGACGAATCAGGTTCACCAGAGCGTCCTGCAGGGAGGGGTCAGCGAGGGAGGGAGAGAGAGAGAGAGAGTGACTCCACTGATACTTTAAACTATCCTCAGGTGATAGCGAACACACAGGTGAACTCACGGCCTGTAGCTTCACTGCGATACACTGCGAGTGTCTGCGAATGGCCGCCATCCCCCCGCTGAAGGTTTTCCTGATGGTGCCGTTCCTCTGCAGAGAGCGCTGGCTGCCGCCCTCCAGACCCCCCAGACCTCGACACAGAGGGGGCAGAGAGATTCGGGGGGTGAACATGGCCTTCACCGCCGCTCTGAGGAAAACACGGAGTAATCAGATTACATAACTGCACTCACTGTTACAACACTGTAAATAAATGATAACACGTGCTTCCATACAACTGACCACCAAAATCTAAGCTGTTCATCCTCGAGTCCGTTTTTACCAAATCTGAAGAAATTCCCTCGAGGCGTTACAGAAATATCGCGTTTACAAGGCGTTTTGTGAGCTCACTGTGACCTTGACCTTTGACCTTTAACCACCAAAATCAACTCAGTTCATCCTTGAGTCCCGGTGAATGTTTGTGCCAAACTTGAAGAAGTTCCATTAAGGCATTACTGAGATATCGTGTCCACAAGAACGGGACAGACGGACGGACAACCTGAAAACAATATGGCGGCTCTGACTGTCGCCACCGCGGAGGAATAAAAAACTTGTAGGCCACCCTGAATCCATAGTGACATTATACCTCACATCCCCTAAAGCATTATGGGAACTGCAGCATTAAGATTTACACAACGAAAGAACTTTAAAGTACATAGACGGGGCTGTCCACATACATCTGGCCACTTTGTGTACAGCTAACTGTGCGACAGGAGCCGACTACAAGACGTTGACTGACGTGTCGTCCCTGTGCGGTGGCGTTCAGCCTCCGGGGGGCCGTTACACACACTCACACGGTGGAGTTCTGGAGCAGACAGATGGCGTTCAGAGCCGACGGGTTGTTCTGGATCAGACCGAACCAGCCAGTCAGGTCGTAGCGGATCGGGTCGCAGCCCATCAGGTGGTTCACCTCGCACTGCAGCGGCTGCTCGCACTGACGCACTGCAGGGACATACACACTGTGTTTAACTGAGCTCACACACTCGACACACACACACACACACACACACACACACACACACACACACACACACACACTACCAGTGTTGCTGAAATACTGGCAGACTCTCCCCAGGGCGCTGTTCTCACTGGCGGCTGGTGTCACCATCTCCTCATCCAGAACCCACAACAGACCTCTGGGGTCTCCATCTGCCGCCCGGACCTTAGAGACACAGAGACACACACACACACACACTGTATATGATTACCACAAAAGAGAAACACGAGCTGTTGCTGTTTTCAAGCACAAATTGAGCCGGAGCTTCGAGAACTTCTGGCTCCGTCAAATGTCGGACGTAGTGGAAAGAAAGGAGAAATATTTTCATCGCCTTCATCTCCCGAGGAGGAAACAGCAGGATGAAGTTTCTACTTTGTGGAATTGTTTCTTGAAGTTGAACTTAGTGTGAGATAATGCTGCTAAATGAGGTGTGGACAGGTGCATGGCTGGTGCGTTGTTATATTGAGGCAGCAGAAAGTGATTCACCAGCAAAAGCCTGGACTAAAGTCAGTGTTGCAGTATTCCACTGTTATTTTAAAGAGCATTATCACGAGTGTAATAATACGCCGTGTGAGTGTACTGCAGTGTTTCCAATTCATCACAGAGAATAAATCTGTCCACCGCAGTTTCATAAAGAACCGAAGACGGATTCACACTTTCTCTTAATAAACATAAAAGATGTCTAACGTTGTGATTTGTGCCGCTGCTTCTCTGTGGAGGTGAGAGCGGAGCGTTCATCCACTCAGCCCTTCTGTGTAGTATGTGTGTCAGGACCTGTCTCACTGGTCAGACACAATATTTAAATAGAATGAAACACTGTGCTATTATAAAAGAGATCCACCAAGGTGTAAATGTAAATGGCTTTTTAAAGGGAAATGGGGGCTGGCTCTTTGATTGGTTTATTGGATGTTACCCTGAAAACACTCCCATATGATTAATTAACAGACTAAGTCCGACCTTTTGAAGCATGTGCCTGGAGCAGCGTCTGCCCCCCCCCTGTTAAAATAGCAAAAGTGACATG